AAAAAAAAAAAAAAAAAAAAAAAAAAAAAAAAAAAAAAAAAAAAAAAAAAAAACTACTGAGTAGTGAGGTTATGACATCAACGCCCATGAAATGATTCACAGTGAACCTGATGACTTGCCTGCAACAAACGTAAAGCTGCACCTTCTCGATAGCAAGCCTTGGGCCAATCTGGTTTCAATGCTCTGCAGGCTCTTGCATCTGCTAAGGCCTGCTCAGCTTGACCTAACCGTATCCAACAAAGGCTTCGGTTGGAAAATAATGTACCATCAGTTGGATCCAGGTCGATGGCCTACAAATTTACATTGTATTAGCAGTCCGGTAGCATCAGCCATGCTTCCCAATACAGTCTCTGCCACATCTCATAACCTCAAAAAGAAAAAAAAAAATAGCCCACCAAAAAGAACCAAGAAAGCAAAGACCAAAGCCCTACCTGTGTATAAGCATCAACCGCTGTCTGAAAATCCTTTGTATTGAAAGCATCATCCCCTCTAGATTTGGCCTCTGCGGCTTTCTTCTTTGCTTCAGGTGACACCTAGAAGTTAAGTTGTAACAGTCACAACAGAGAACTGTATTACCACTTATAAATATCATTCTAGTTTCTGTGCGCTTCATAAGCATTTTCATTTTATCATTTGATTAAAAAGTTGGTTGTTAAGGGAGAGGATTCAAGTGTACTTGTCTCATGAAACTTCCAGGGACCAATTTGAATATAAATCAAACCACCATATCAAAATTTAGTAAATATTCTGTTGATACCAAATTCCAAAACCTTATTGCAACCATATTTTGAATAATCCATACGTAAATAATTTCCCTTTACAGCCAACTCAATACACAAACAGGCCAATGATTCATCTAAAGAAAGGTTTGAGTGCCTTTAATGCTTAATTACATCCAAGGTTCGCAGTTATGAAAGGTTGAACACTTGAACCAATATTTAAAATTCTTTTCCAAACAATGAAAGTAGTTGTTTCTCTCACCAAAAAAAACAAAGGAATTCTTTCCCAACCAATATATTGAATGACATGGACAAATTGGAAGTTACCATCTTAATTAGCCATTAATTTTCATCATCATCATCACTTATTAATCATGTTGGAGTGTTGCATAGAACGATCCATATGAAAACTTTGAACAGATGCATAACCAAAAAATAAGCTGATCAAGAGGGTTATAAATGCACCTCAGGAAAATCTTGCTCTCGTGCTGTGGAGTCTTTATGTTTATTAACCTCCTCCAGATTTCTAGAAATGTCCTACAAATTTCCATTGCAGTTAAGATACGAAGCAGCTATGAGATAAAAGAACAATAAACAGGCAGATGTTAACGCAGTACTTGATAGAAAGCAGCCAATTCAATCCCTTGTTACTCTATTCCAACAAAATTTAGCCCTTAAATTTATAATATGAAGCAGCTATGAGATACGAGAAACAATAAACAGGCAGATGTTAACGCAGTACTTGATGGAAAGTAGCCAATACAATCCCTCTGTTAATCCAACAAAATTTAGCCCTTAAAGTTAAGATACGAAAGAACTATGAGATACAAGAAACAATAAACAGTCAGATGCAAACACTGCACTTGATAGAAAGTAGTCAATACTACCTCTGCTACTCTATTTCAATTTAAAGGGTTAGTAGTGTGATCCCCCTATTGACAGCAACACTTTTTATCATTGTTATTATTTACGTTTATCTCTCCATTTCGTAGATCAGATAGCTTTACATACAATCTTTTTTAATTGCAACAGTCTAGATCGTGATGCAACAATAAGTTATCGAAAACGCATGGTCTGTAACCTTGTTCCGCATATGGCTTATCAGGAATATGGCTCAGCTTCTTCCCCTTATTTGAACAACTTTCTTGTTTTGATAGAAGATTTATTTTTGTAAAGGAAGAACAAACCACATGATAAAAGCATGAGACTATCCAAGGGATGCTGCAATCTAAAGGTTCATATGGGAGAAGAGACCAACGTCAAGTGTACAATTTGATATCAAACGCAAAGAATTTCTGATATATGCTAATGAAAAAAATGAAGGTATCACGAATAACCTATCTGCTAATCAGAAAGCCAAAATAGAATTACAAAATCATACTCGATCTTTGTTGATTTCATTCTGCATATACTCGAGTACTCCATCAGTGGTCCAATTAGGAATTGCCTCAACTGCTGAAGTCAACGGAAGAAGAATCTCCACAGCTGCCCGATTACCTCTAGCTGCTGCAACCTGTACTGGCTTTAGCCCATCCTATAATGCAACAATAAAAAGATTTATGCTTGAAAGTGGTTTTCTTTGATATAACTTTTTTCATTTCTTGATAGCAAACAAAAGAGCCCTCGAGCAAACAAAGAAACTTCGGTGATCACAGAAAAAATTTACACAGCTTTTGACTTACAAGTTAAAAACATGGTGTAAGATGATTATAGTCTCCCTAGGGTTCGAAAGGAATCTGGCACATATTCATAATCATTACAAGAAGTTTAACAAGCACTTATTGATCCAATCCAAAAAATGGGATGTATTTGGCCTGAAAAAATATAATATCAATTTAAACTGATGTTGCATAATACCACCACGAGCCCTCAAATAAGCTTTGCCTGTTACTAGTTGATTTGATCTTGAAATACTTGTAAATAAGCAACTATTTGTTTATTTTTTCTAATATCGGAGAGTTTCTTTTAATTTATACTAAAGACTTCTCAAATATCAATGAAATATTTCCTGTAGGGGAGAGTAGGATATGATATATTTGATTATTTTGATTTTTCTGGTGTCTCTACTACCTTTGTAATTACCTAAAGTTGGGATGTGGTTTTGTAAGCTCCTTTTGACAAGGTTTATAGATGTTATTGTATTTTCTCAGTACAATTTTATAGTAACTTCCACTATACCAAAGAAAGATGTTTTGCGTAAAAAAGATCTGAGAGAGAAGAAAAATATGAAACGTTGGTATCCCATCCCATAAATCAACAAAAGAAAGAATATGAACAAGATTTTTTTTTAAAAGTAATAACCATGCCTAGATGTACAACTTTGTCCATGGACTAGGCTCCATACTACCTCATCAATGGCATTAGGATCGGCCCCAGCTTGTAACAAACTATTAATAATTTCAAGGTTCCCACTATCAGCAGCAATATGAAGAGGGGTTGCTCCACCAGCACTGATATTTACTTTAGCACCTGCCTGTGGATTAAATGCAAAGGATGCAAAAAAGTCAAATTCTACTAGACACGGACATACAGCAATACTTGCTGATTCAAAAATTAGCATAGAGCAACAAAGGAACTACTATGATTGAGCACTGTAGGGCGGATTTGTGGAAGATATGGCTGGAATGAAACTCAACAAAATTTTAAACGAAGAGAAGGAACCACAAGTGAATTTCTAGAGTTCTCTATCTTCAATGCTCTTTACTGGTGTAAAATAGACAGCCTTTGAAGAATTTCAGCTTAAATTTCCATGTGACCAACTGGAGGAATCTTTTGTAATTCCTCTGATTGTGACCTCATTTTGTATTTTTTTGGATTATTTCATTCTTTCAATGAAATTGTTTCTTATCCCAAAAAAAAAAAAAAAAAAAAAAAA